TGCCGCGTGTTTTACGGCCAGCTGATTAAGAACCACAGGTGGGGAAATGTGTTCCCGCTAACTAGCGATCTCGCGAGGCTCCTTCATTGAAGTCAAACAATGAGCAATTCGGCGATTGGCTCTTATCTGAAAAATCAATTTCCCTATCCGACATGCAGGATACGTTGCGAAACTCATCGGGCTATAAAAGAGAGTTGCGATCTTCCACTGTGCTTGGACCACGTGTGCGTCCTACAAATTTCTCAAGCTCTCTTCTCACTATCCGTCTCGGCGCGGCGGCCGCAGACAGGACTCGGTCAATCCTCCGTCGGAACATTCTTCGACGCTTTGGAGTGTTCATTCCGCGACTGTCACATTTCAGTAAGACCTTGAAAAGAGAAACCCGACCCGGAGGTTCGACGGAGGGGTTTCCTGTCTGCCGCCGTCCAGACGAGCAGCGAGAATCTGGCGTCAACACTGTTGACGCGAGCAACACTCCCCAACTGTTGCGACGAGTTCATGCTCTTTCGACGACGAAAAGTAATAAATAAAACCTTTCATTCGCCCTGCATTCGCAAACTGTTCTCGACTCTCTGAGGAGTCAAAGTATTTCGTCCTCAGCAATCGTTAGCTCTCTCAAATGCTCCGCGTTCAAAAAGTTCATCATCTGACTGCATACTCGAGTACCTTCACACAGACAGACACACACACACACACACACACACACACACACACGCACGCAACACAAATATGCGCTGAATTCGTTTACCTTTGCGCTAGATCCAATCTAGCCGGCTCTTTGCGAGGCGAATGAAGAAACCCTTGGCAACTCCAGCGACGGAGGGACGAGCGGACAAAAGTGGCGGGAATTAGCACTCGTCATTTCCGACACAATGCGCGCATTGTCTCGCAAGCGCGCGCGCTCGCTCGCTCGCTCTTGCGCCAGATCGCACAATCCAGGCAGACGGGCGAAATTGCGGGCGGCTCCTCTTTCTATCTTCTGCATCGCGCGGCGCAACGAATTACGCCTCGCGACGCAAAGCGGACAGGACGCTCCGATTCTCAGGATAATGCGCGCGACCGGTTTTTCCGCGGAGCGCAGGCCCCCTCCCCTCCCCTCCGTGGAGAAGCCTTCGGTCCTCGTTAGTAGCGAGCAATTACGAGGGAAAGTGTTCGCCGCGGCGAAATTGCCGCCGCGCCGAAGTAGATCGCCGTGTGTTTGCGCTTTAATGACGCCGTCATTTCGACCCGAACTTTCAGCCGCGTGCTTTTGCGCTGCCTCTCGCCACCCCCTTGCCACCCCCAGCAGCCCCCTCTTTAATCAGCGGCTTAAACGACGGATACCAACTTTCAGACACGTACAACTTTTAATGGTCTCGTCTAGCGTGTCGTGATGCGGCCGGTGTGATCGCGCGCGACCGAGAGCGAGCCGGCGTGCCACCGGTTTAATGTGCCACCAGGGTTAACCCTTTTCAGGGCGAATTGATTTCCGACCGTCCGGCCGAGGTCGTGGACGGTACGCGACGGTTTAGCAGCGAGAGCGACACGGCCGATAAGCACCGTCGCGTTTCGGACTCGCGTTCTTTAAAGGCGACCGCGCGCTTAGTGCGAGAGCGAACGGTGTCGTTGCCATTTAACACGCTCATTGCCGCGCGATTGCTTGAGAGTTGGATCAAGTCGGGCGAGAGAGTCGCTTCGACCGCAGTCCAAGTCCTTACTGCTCGGATCCCGAGCTATTGGGAATTTTCGAATTGCAGAAGTCTCAAGACAGATGTCGCGATCTGGGCGATCTTGAAAAATCACGCTTCATTTTCGCTCGTGTGTGTCTTTATCTTGTATCTGTGTATGCCTTTACCACGGAAGATTGTCCGGATTACGAGCGAGAAATATTTGCGCAGCAACAAATTTCTCGATTTCGAATATCAATTTTTATCCCTCCGTTTTACCCCTTAAATTTTAGTCCACCCTTTTGGCGGAACATGATCTTCGCAAATCTTGGTCGGTTTGCTTTCTTTGTCTCTCTGTTGATTTCAGTTGATTTCAGCGTTGAAGTAATCGGTAAAAATCAGCGTGACAGTCGACGTGTCGGAAAACGTGTGGAAAAACATTGAAAAATATTGAAAAATATCGTTTGTGTGTGTTTCCCGTTACGAAAGGACAAGCAGGAAAAAAGAGAGGACACTGGCGGACGAACGTGCTCGCTTTGTGACAAAGCCGGAGCGGTAGACGAAAATAAACGAGATGCCGGAAAATATCGCGGGGATTTTCCGTGAAAATGTCCGAAACACACAGTCCGACGCAATAAAATAAACAGCCGCGCCGCGCGCGCGCGCGCGCGCGCACACACACACACACACACACACGGCGGCGCGCGATTTATCGACGCGCGCACGCGGAACGCGCCGCGTTCTCTCGCATAATTTTCCCACCGCATAATAATACACTCTCTCTCTCTCTCTCTCTCTCTCTCTCCGTGTGTCGCGCGGGCTGCATCGGCGACAAAAGTTGTTACGGCCGGCTGTTAGCGTTTCAGCGTTTACCGGGTAAGCTTTACGAGCTTACGGTCGCGTTACCGATTTGTAAAGCTCACGACGCTCGGCTGCCGAGAGGCTCGCTTCCCCGAATGAATTAACTTCCTTCTCGGACTCGTTTCGCGTGGAAGACGCGTGGAAATCCGGCGACGCGTTTTACGGTCGGCCGACGGTAAAACGAAATAAGCCTGGGACAGGATGAAAACGACGCGCGAGTTAACGAACCGGCAAACATACGCGAGCGCTGCTCGTCGATTTTGACGAGCTTGCTGCGAAGTGGCTGAAAATAAGAGACACGATCGCAAAGTATCGCGAAATATCATGAAACATTTCTCCCTCCTCAGGACGTTTCCTGATTTTCTCTGAAACATTCATCCCCACCATCGCAGTTTCAAAGGTACTCTCTCTCTCTCTCTCTCTCTCTTTATTCCCGGAGGGGGGGGGTAGCTTTCACCCTTGGCCGTGCGAGAGAGCACATCTAACGAGATACGAGTCTCTTATTTTTAGCGCGACGTATCCAAAGGCCATCAAAATCGGTGAGGGACGCATCCATTATTCCTCGGGCGACTACCTCAACCACGAGGCGAACAAGTAGAAATTAGAATAAATGCCAACGACGATAATACAGCGAGGGTATACCCCCTGGCTGTGAAGGATGAAGAAAACGTGAAATATTCCCCGAGCATACGAGTATATATCGTTGTACAGAGAGTCGACCTTGAGGGCGCTGAAGGAGCCTCGTGAGATCTAATCTAGCCGTTACTCCCGTACGTGCGAACAGTCCCGATTCCAAACTGAATTCCTCTGATCGATCCCGCGGCAATCGCACTCGCGCCGCGCGATCAGCGAAAGTGTTCCTCTCGCGCTTGCTCGGGGGGCTTAAGCTAACGAATTAGGGCTGATCCCCACTATCCGTCTGGCCATCAGCAGGCAGGACCAGCGAGCAAGGACTCCCGCCAATTTTTCTTCTTTTCTTTTTTTTATCAGAAAGATTGAAGCGATGGTGGTGGCAGCTGCCGCGCGAGTATTTCAATGCAAAAGCCTCGAAGAATATTTCGCTGCGAGACTCCCGTTCGCCGGCGCGGGCGCTCCGCGGGCGATCGGACTTTAAAGAGCCGCGGCGCGGCGCTCCGCGCGAAATCGGCCGCGGCGGGGCCGCGCGACGCCTTGAAAACCGGTCGGTTAAGGTAAAGAACTTCGTGTCGCGCGTATCGATTGCGCGGTCAGCCGACTATACGGGACGGGTCGAAGGGGGCTGGGAGAAATCTTTGCGTGACCGGCGCGGCCTCTCGCCCTCTGCCACCCTCGCTCGGCCCTCGTCCGGCTGTGACCGCGGCGACTGCGGCAGCCGCAATCACTGCTCCGAGTCACCTGAGGCCAGCCAGAGCGATGGCCACTCGTTGACTCACGGACTGTCGCACGAACTTCTTCTCGGTCTCCGCTCGCGAGCTCGGTCTTCTCGCTTCATCATCGGCGCTGCCGATCTTGGCTGCCGAAGCTGCCGCGCCGGAGGAGTTGCGCGTTCAAGTAAGAAGGTGCTTTTCCCGGTTTTCGGCGGTCGCGTGCCGCCGAGGGATGGGTCTCGGAAGCGCCGCGGCGGTGTGCGTGCGAGTGCTGTGTGAGATCAGCTTCGTGTGGGATCCTCCGTGTGGGTTCTTCGTGCTCGCTTCGCGATTCGCGCGGCTAGCTGCTCGCTCGAGTCACGAAGCACGCAGCGCGCGCGCGCGCGATTATCGCAACGGTGACGGGCTTGTATGTAAACGCGCGCTCTACGGTTAGCGCTGGCTTCACCGTAGAGCTGCCTGTCGTCGTCCGGGCCGGGTATAACGCGGCCTGTTTGGGGAAGTTGGGGTCTCGGGAACAGCTCGGCCGGGCCAGCAAACGTGTCGTTCGACTCTCGCGATGCGCCGCGCGCGCGTCGAGCGGCGGACGCGCGAGCGTTAGCTCGCGTACGACGTTCTCTCCTCATTCCGTTGATGCAAATCGATACCTTCTGATATTACTATACATTTTGCACATGACTCATATGTAGACGCTAATGGTGCTCTGCGGCTAATGCAAAATCGATAATAATCGTCGGGGATTATTAAGTGGCGCTGGCAGTGCACGTTGTGCAAGGTAAATCACGCGAGAAACAGCGTGCGGTTTTTCCGTCGTTTCCCCACCTTTCTTCCTTCACTGCCTCTTTCTCCTTGTTTCTTTTCGTCGGTAAGAGCGAGAACTTGCGGGAGATTCTCTCCTGCGTGCAACATTACTAATCTTGTTACCGCATTGTTTTCACGGGCCGAATTCACCGAGACGGAGAATCACGATCCCACGATTGTCTCTTGTCGCCTTCGCTTTTTATCTGAAATCATCTGCTTGACAAGCAGCAACGATTGCGACGGAACTTTTTTTTCGAATTTTATAAACGCTTCTGTAAGTGCGCCGCGACATTGTCCTCTGCAATCGTCGGAGTATACTATATTATAAATTGTCACGTGTCGGCAGGGTCCTGGCCTCCAGCAACGAGAAGCAACCTAACAGCGAGAGGCTGCTGGCGCGTTGGGGAAGATCTCTGAGTCGCTACTGCAAGTGTTGTCCCGGCATGAGGTGTTTGGCGTGTCGCAGAGACCCCAAGGGCCTGCTCTGGACGAGGAATCAAGGGCGGCTAACGGTGATCAGCGATTCACCGCCGCCTGTTGTCGCGGCCACGCTCGACGTGCTACCGTCGACACCGCCGCCATCCGCGACCAACGCAAACGCGTCGTCCTGTTGGTCGAAGCTGAAGACGCGATGCAGGTAGAGACACCCGTAGAGCCGTAATTTCGCTCTTACCTGCAGGCTTTCCTTTTTTTTGCCTATTTGAAATTTCTTATAATGACGGCTTTAGATGAAGGCGATGACAAATTGTGACTTACAATCGTAAGTACTTGAGCACAATAATTAATTAAACGATAAAGGAACGATTTCTATTTGGACTTTCGAAAAGAACGAACATTCTCGACTCGGCTAAAACTTAGCATTCTTGAGTAGGACTTGTAGGTCCAAATTGAAAGGAAGTAGATCCGAGGTGTGAAGGTAGGAAATTAAATTCCAAATATCGCAACGTCGAAATCTAAAGGTTAACCCTTTCACTGCTGAATTAACTTCCCTTGAGAAAATTATCAAAATATTTGGTGGTCCTACGTTTCTTGGATCGCTGATTACGAATCTAAAGTCAGATTTGCAAAATTCAAAATGGCGGATTCAATATGGCGACCATAATGTACGAAATTGATTCCGAAAAATTCCGATTATTATTGATGATATATGGGTTTCTCGAATCGCTTTACGAATCTTACGAATCTTTTGAGTAAAATAATATTGATAGTATGGATAAGAGATGGGGATACAGAATGAGAAAACTAGGAAAATAGAGCTAAAAGGTGCAAAAAAATCAAATCTCAGCCGTTTTTGTAGAAATATTTGTTTATAAAAAAGAATATAACCTACAAAAAACTACTGAAAAAAATATATGCTTTTGTACAACACCAGAAAAATATTTGGTGAAAATTTCAGACCTCTGCATTCAATACTCTCCGAGGAATCGATTTTTCCCTAAAAAAAAGCATTTTGTTTCAACTGTGATTTGTTATAAATAATCACGAATGAATGATTGGGTATAGAAACCTATTGGAATATGTTGAACAACTATTCAGTTATCTGGAAAACTCAAATCCCCCCCCCCCCTCCGATTAGTTCCTCAAAATTATGTGATTTATAACGCAAAATTGAATTGAAGAAGAGGTGCGAGAAGTACACTTCCCACTAACAGTGAAAGGGTTAAGGAGAAAAATCTCGGCTCGAGCTGCGCCTCGTCGCAAATTACGCACGTTCGAGTCGTAGACGTTCGATCGCATCTCGCGATTCGCCGGAGATTTTCATTTTGAGTGGACTTTTCGCCCACAGATGCACCCGACTGCGAGAATTCAAGTGGTGCGCGCGGAGATCCAGGGTCGCTCCCGCCGAACCTACCGTTTGCTGTCCGCCGGAGAGGAGATTCCGTGCGATCTGTCGCCGCATGTTCGGCTGCTGCAGCTGCAAACGCGCGGAGAAGCAACAACGCACAAGAAACGTACGTGCCAAGCACAGCCTCACGAGCGTGGCGCCGCCGCCTTTGTCGGAGGTACGTAAATCGTTAGATTTCCGAATAATTGTCATTTATTTACTTACGGAGGAGGGGGGAGGGGAGGTATCCCTTTACATAATTAACATTTGATCGCATGATCTTCAAAGATGACAAGGTTAGGAGAAGAGGGGAGAAATGCCGAGAGGGTAATGTAGAGAAAGGAAAGTAACGTTGAGAGACAACAGATTGACAGAAGCAGAAGTGAAATGCAAAAAAAAAAAGAAAAAGAAAAACGGAGGTGACATTTCAAAAGAAATCAGACATTATTATTACGACGGTTCCAAATGAGGACAATAACAGATCGTAAATTGTTGAACAACCGGCATTCTGTCGAGCGGAGAAGTCTGTTTCCACTTTGCTGAACTATGTTGCAACATTTTTGCCTTTAGAGTGAAACAGCTATGTAGTCTAGAGCTGAAGGAATCAGGAACGCGGAGCCAACTAGTTCAGCTAAAAAGTACCGGGACCGAGGGAGTTACACCTTCGACAAGTAACGCGTTATCGTCGCTACTAAAAAGTTACTAAAAAGAAAGAGAAAAACAACGTCGTTAGCAAGTTATTGCTGAAAACGGGTTGCTCGTAACGGTGTCCTCGCAACCTTGCCAGTCCTGGAAAGAACAGACTTCAGGACGAACCGTCTCCTAGGCGTGCGATTATCCCACGTATCGGATACGCGATAAGAGCGAGTAAGCGGGCGATTTTAAGCCGCGCTTACTGTGCGTAACTATTGCGATTACTTCGTGCCATTATTTCACCCGAGCGCCTCGAATGTGGGACGCAACAGCGGAGTGCTGTACGGTCCGCTCGCAAATCGCCGTGGGATGCGCACGTGTATCCGTGCTCCAGAAACTGGCGCTGGCCCATTTCCCTCACACGTAACGCGAGAATTCGATGCGCAGGAACCGAAGGCCAAGATACCGGACGTCCTGGTGGAGCACAATTCCGTCATGCGCGGCGCCATTCCGTGTCTACCGGTTCCTCTCGCCTGGTTCTGCCTGGTGTGGAACGTCTTGCTACCGGGCTTTGGTACGACCACAACTCTTTATACCTTTCCACTTTATCACGAGCTGTTCTCTCTGCTCAGGAGGAACGCTCAAAGTCTTCAATCTTAAAGTCCTTCAATTATAAATAAAAGGGCGGTCCAGTCAAAAGACAGTTGTGAGTGCGAACTTTAAGAGACTACATGGTTTTCTTACAGTTCAACCTCTTGTACTATAACGCAGTTGTGTGGTACAATATTTATAATACAATATTTTATAGTACAACATTTGGATACAAGAAGGAATAAAGGGAAATTTTAGAAGGATCATTCCACGCGAGAACAGTAATCGGTAAAATGTAAAAATATTTTATTCCATCACCCCGTTTGCAGTTACTGTACAGGAAAATGACGATAGTGCTACGAGCTCAGAAAAATCATATCGTAAAAAGTCGTATAATGTAATTATTATTACGCTATAAAATTTGCGTGTAGGCTCGCGGTATAAAACCCGACGGAAAAGATAGTTCCTTAAAAAAAAAAAAAACATACATGTACAAGAGAAATGCATTGCGGTTCGCAAATGTTAACTGAACTTGCGCAGGAACTGTTTGGAGCGGCCTGTTCAACCTATGCACTGGACAGCCGAGATTTTCTCCTGTCGCTGGACTGAAATCACGACTGGGTGCATTTATCGTGAATCTCGTCGTGGGTGTAGGCCAACTATTCACCGTTCTATTTTGCCTCGTCGGATGGGGCTGGAGCATTTGGTGGGGCGTCACGATGGTCCGCTTAGCCAGTAAGCATTCTCATTGCTTATCGGTTACTATTAGTCTAATTTAATTAATAGTCTACTTGATTATTTGTCGCCGACAAGAAGAAAAGACAATCATTTAATACGACCAAAAGCGCTTGCGTTCATCTCGTCTCTTTCTTTTTAAGGAAGAGTTCGTGAGAGAGACGTGAGGATCCTTTTACTGGAAGATTTGTAGTTTTATTAATTAAATATATGTATCGGGATTTGTGTTCATTCAGTTTACAAAAAATATGGCGACAATAACTAACCGATTATATCTTCTTTTCTTTGGTAAAGTTCTATCGACAAGAGCGACTCCGACGAGACGCGATACATAAGGTTTACTGAATTGCAGGGAAGTACAAGCGGTTCAAGGCTTCGGAAGCCGCTAGCAACGACCCCGAAGCCAGAGGAGGAGGTGAAGCAGCCCTGCCTCCTGGTGTACCGAGTCAAACTCTGCGAGGGATAGAGAGGGCACGATGATGCGCCCTCGGCGAAAGGGAGGGCGTGACCCTTCTGCGATCATCTAAGGATATTTAAGAAGATCTCCTTCGACGTTCTGTATCCTCGTGCTCCGTTTATTGTCAATCGCGAGAGCGTATCGGGAAAGCATGTCTCGATTTGTCACGAGGAGATTTCAGTCTCGCGACCGAGACTCTCGAGCGTCTCGTGCGAACGAAGCTTGCACGAGCAAAGTTCGCACGAGGACGAGACACTGCGGGACGGTTCAGTCGGCGAAGAGCGTCCGACTAACCGGAAAGCTCGGCGCAATAACATGTTAAGCTCGCAGGGAACGGCGGGCGATCGAAGAAGGCCGTAAATTATTAACGCGCTCCGAGAACATTTCTGCATTTTTATTCGTCGCGCAACCGGACGTTCCTAGCTATCTCCGGTAGGAACGGGGTTTTTTTTTTCTTGGAATTCGGGTAAGGAACACGATATAAGGCTCACGATATTGAGGTTTTCCCCCCTTTTTCTCTTTCTCTGGTCCGGTATGTTATTGCGCCGAGATTTTCGATTTCGACGCACGTGAGGGATTCCTCGAGAATATCACCGAGATTCTTGTGCAAGGTGTCTGTAAAGTCTCTGCTCTTTGTCCTTCTCCAATCGACGGCCTCCTCCATGTCGCAGAAAATTCATCTTTCAAGAGACACGAACGACAATCTTCTTCTTTAACGGTACTTTGAACAAATTAATCTTAAGGCAGGTAAATTTAGAGAGATCTCCCGCGAGAGGCTGCAGTTTGAGGTAGAGAGACAGCGCAAAGTTTGGCGGGTCAACCCCGCGATAATTCGTTTGGACACATCGCGGATTTAAGGATCTTCGTACAAAACAGACAGAGACTTTGTCGAGCACCCTGTATTTTTCTACGCAGCGGAAACTTTCGTTCCCGTCGGAACGAAAGTCCGATTTTTGTAAAGCCGGCGCCAGCTAGCCAGCGCGCACGCGCCAAGCTAGCGGCCTATTATGATTCGAGAAGAGAAGTCCTTGAAGATTAATCGCTTTCAGTGAAAGCATCATTGCCGAGGCGTTTTTCCCAAATGTACTCGTCGCGTCGATGAGCACGACTTTGTGAGAAGGAAGAAGGAAAACGAAATAGACATTCGCCGTCGCGGACGTCGAAATTTAGAAGCGCGGCGACTGAACGGACGGCGTCTGAAATTTCTGGGATACGTCGAGATAAAAGGATATGTCCATGTAATTGACCATAACCGCCATTTTATGGACACATTCTTTCAATCTGACGCACTGAATGAGAATTCTTCAAATTCATCTTCTCGTTGCTGACGTTAGGATTCAAGATAGTCGCGGCGAGGAACCAGCAACCTGAAATTTAAAGAGGGAGGTCGGACATTTCTTTCATGGGCACAATGCACGGACGCCAGGATCGATGGGACAAGTACGTTTTGAGAAAACGCGCTTTATATTTTTACAAGCGCAACGTACACATACACACGAGTACTAAACTACCCGATTGAACTTATATATACTTATTACGCTCGCTCTTGTAAATATGGAAATATATTACTTACATCAATTTTTCATGTAATCTCTGCCTCTGGAAATTCTTCGACTCACCTCCCTTCGTCTCTCTCCTCCACGGTCGCGCTACACCGACACTTCTCGCGCTGGACCTTCTCTTGCGCAAATCTTTTCCGTTAATCTGCCGCGTCTCGATTAACGAAGCTTCCAGCTGTGCCCGGGACAAGCGAAAATGAAAGAGAAACTTGCTGAAACTCATCGTACCTCCCCTCTGTCTTCTTCGTAGCTGCATGTGCGTGTACGCGCGCGTGTGTGTGTGTGTGTGTGTGTGTGTGTGTGTCGTATGATCTCGATGTAGATTCCCGTTGAATCGTCCGAATGTCAACAATGGGGAGAAACTGGAACGGTATCTCTTTTCATTCGTGTGTAGAACGATCATAATGAGAGAGAACACCGTCGCGTGAGATAAGATAAAAGACGACAGTAACATACATAAGCCGTATTTCGCTCAGCCTTCATCTGCCTTCCACCGCGTTGCGGTGCAGACTAATTGCTCTTTTCCGCATCTTCTCTCGTGCCTTCCGGAAATTCCGACACGAATGCGCCCGTCGCTATATGAAGACATATGAATGTCTGTGTCCTGTATACGCGATGTCCCGGATTCGCGTCATTTCTCAGTCGCACCTTGCCGACATGAATGCCCGAAGATGAATCTTTGAGATGTCTCTTGTGAACGTCGCGAACGTTCCCAAAGTAGGTTTTCCTCGGCAATCTGAAGCCCGTATTTCCTTCAATAAGGAGACGCGCGATGACGTCATTTACGCGACAGAAAAATTAGTCGTGTAATTATTGCTAAGACCGCGTCGCCTAAATATTTTGTCTTTTCAAACCGGTCAAGAAAGAGGATCGAAGAGTCTGTCTATCACAGAAAGGGAAGCTCTGCAGAGACTCAACCGAGGTACGTTTCTCGCAGAAAACGACTCCTCAACGATAACATTTCTCAGTTATTTCTCGACATACATAAATGAACGTGCACAGCGTTGGAGAAAAGTTGAGGAAAGAGATACGAGGAGTGACGATAGGTTCTATCGATCTTCCATGGTCGGTAATTTCGAAGATAAGAGAGACTGCGTTCGAAAGTGTAGCTGAGGGCTGAGACAAATCGCAGAGAGGGAAATTATTTGCCGAATTACCGTTCGTCGTTGTTTACGACGTCGATCACGTGGCCGGACATCATCGTGGGACGCTCAAGTTTAGAGACGTGCGCATGCTCGTGAAGAATAAAGGATCTAGCGGGACTGCTAATCCTAAGCATGCAAATCGATCGCATGGCCAAGCAATTCTACCTTAAGCGAACACTATCAAGATTTCGTTATTTTCGGCCTTGTCGAAGGCCCTGGAGCCGGCATCAAAAGCTCTCGCGCATCGTCTTATGCGCGCGATTCTTCGTGTGGTCCTTGCGATTCGTCTGATTTCTGTGAGCGACGCTGCCTCGCACGGTCGATGTGTCGATGTGAGCTGATATCTACAGGGTGGCTCGTGTGACGTTTAGCGACTAAGCTGCCGGAGATTTTTCGGAGGAGAGAATTCTTTTTTCATGCGCAGGCGCATTTCTACCGAAGCATCAAAAGCAAGTATGTATATGTTCGTATTCTATAAAGTGACGCGAGGAAATGAGGTCAACAGCGAGATGTCATTATGCTCGCTGAAGTTGACCCATTTGAGATTTTACACTTACCCCCCGCTCGACCCTTTAAGGGGACGAACGAGGGTAAGTCTTGACACAGATTCAAAGGCCCTTGGGATCTAGGAAATTCGAAAGCAGATCGATTTAAATTAATTGCGTAGTTCTCAAGCTCATATTAAGCCGCTAAGCCTTACGTGGGCCACCCTGTAGTGTGTATGTGTGTGTGTGTGTGTGTATCGATCCGGTGTGAAGAGTAGCAGAGTCCTCCCGCCGTGCAAACCGTTGAGCCGTGTTCCACCAGATCACTCGTTAATCCGAAAGCGATCTTCTCCTCCTCTCAACGAGGTGCGATAAAAAACTTTATTATATCCTTAGCCGCGAGGAGGACGTCACAGGAGATTAAATGACTCGACTTGAGGATAGACCATTGTGCGACAGTCGAGAGAGAAATGAAAGGGACGAGGTACGTGACGGATCACGTTACATCGTCGCGTTACGTTACGTTTTACCATCATTTTCGCGCACACTCAGCGAGCAAGAGAGAGGCAGAGGAGAGAGAGAGAGAGAGAGAGAGAGAGAGAAAGAGAGAGAGAGAGAGAGAGAGAGAGAGAGAGGACATCGCGCGGTAATGTCTCTCCCCTGCGGGCGCAGCGAGCGAGTTTCCTCCGTTCCTCCTTTCCGGCTGCACGCTTCGCGCGATGAAGCGGCGATGAATTCCCGCCGACAAAGCGCCCGCCGCATTTTCATATCCGGGCCCGCTCACCGGCGTGTCGTTCATCAAACCCGCTTTCGGCAGCCGCGAGGATAAACGCGACGACCCAGGCCGCGACGTCGCACGCGCCATTTCGGTGCGTCCCGCATCTCGCAGCAAACGCACGCGGCTGAAAACGTGAGCGCGAATTTGCCGGGGAACCGCGGCGATCGCGTATTATCGTCCACGGAAGTCGCGATCGAGGGCGCGAGTCTTATCGGCCGCGATTCGTCCCCGTCGAGTCGAGGGAGACGGGTTTTGGCTCCTCGTTAACCCCGCAAATTTCCTCCAGCTTGAAGCACCGACGGGGGATCTCGAGATTACATCATTGTACGAGCTACAAACCTACCTTGATCGAGACGAGAACCGCTGCTGCCTTCATCGCGATTACTCGCCGTCGTTTCCTCCGTGTTGAGTTTTCAGAGAAAAGACTCGTCTCGCAGTCATTTTGTATTCGATCGTCCCGATAACGGGTCCTGTTTTGGATTTAAAAGATTCATACCAGGTCGGTGTGAATCTTCGTGGCATCTTTCATTGAGAATATAAATTAATTGCAGATTCGCGGACGATTCTTCAGCTGGCTGGATCCGACATCTTCTCGTTGTACAAAGTAAGTATAGGCACACAGGCTGATGGGCGATTGGAGATTCATGAGGCTAAAATTAGCCGCTAAATGATGCTCGAGTATGAATATCGCGACCTAAATTTCGACTCGGGTGTCTCTTTATTCTCGGCAAGTTCGTCGGACGTTCGTAAAAGTCCCGGAAAGCTCTTGCACGATAAATCACTCACTTTACATCTGTAAGTGCACGACGAATCGCTATCGACGTCATTCTCGAACCAGCTGATCGTTGCGCGGTAGTGCCACTGGCACTTGACGGAGAGGAAAATCGGTTGAATCAACGCGACCTGAATGAACGCGAGTCGAAGACGTTTTGATCAGAGGGAACGGCATTTCCGATTCTTTTAGACCGAATTCGGCTTTGGGAAAGATGTCTGCAGAAATCTTTAACGAGAACTTTCCAATTCTCTCGTTAATACCGGAGCCTCCTAGAGGAATAGAGTAAGGGGAAATGACAAGTTTTCTGCCGCAACTTCTAATCGGTACATATACCGCGACAACATCTGCAATCTATCTGCAGCTGAGTAAAATTATCAACGAATATTCCATCGTTGATTAAAATTAGGAATAAGGAACGAGCGCGGTTGAAATGTTGAAAGAGACGACGTTCGGAAAATTGGATATTAAAAAAAACAGCTCTGGAATAAGTTTTCCTTGGGAACTCAACACGAGGAAAACGACAGTGAGTAATCGCCTGCAGCATCAAGTCTGTATAGAGCGTTCTATCTCGAGATGCCCCGTTGGTTCTTCAAGTTCGATGGAATTTGCAGAGTTCCGGTAACACGGGATCAAAATTTCAATCCGGGGGTTGCATCTAACTTTCGTATTTGTTCGTGGATCGTCCTCGTAGCAGCAGCGCAGAAGATACGCTTTGCTGAATTTTACTTAATCACGCGGTCGTTTCTCGCAAAACGTGGCGCGACCGCCGCCTTGATTAATCCGCGCCGCGGCTGCGCGAAGACGCAAGCATTTTTCGACACCGCTCGCCAAGCTCTGCGAATCGCGTGGATCGATCTTCAAAGAGGAAAAGAACGAAATTACTGCAACAACAAGAAAATATAAGCTTCCTGAGGAATTACATGTACATATGCAAAAATATATGTATATATATATATATATATATATATATATATATACGACTCATCTCGTGCTCGTTGTCGTAAGAAAGCCTTCGGATTGTTACCGTGAAAGCAAAACCGAGGAAGGAAATCGCTCGCATGAAATTCAGAACGTTGGAACTGACTGACTGACTGACTGACTGGAACTGTGAATAATGTCACGTGTACTTGTAAAACGTGAAAGAGTAAGTTCGTATAAACGGTGTTAAACGGTATACGCATTTACGAAAACGCGGTAAAACGTGTGTGCGGGAAGAGGATGGGGGGAAGACATGCGTCGGTTTCTCGGAGCGCGAGCGTAGACTCTCTCGGTGTGAAGTCCGCGTGTGTAAAGAAACACGCGAGAGCGTTGCAATCGTCCTCGTAAGAAGTTGCCCGATGAGACGTGACGATAAAATGTATACGAGTCGTATTGTTTTGCGCACAGCGCCAGGTAAATGTAACTGTATATCACTACCGTGTGCATCAGGCGCACCAGGTGTTACATCATGTGTCATCTCATCATTATCATGAAAATATTTCATCCGACCTTGTTTCCACATCTAAATTCAGCGCTCCGGCCGAGCCCAATTCTACGGATTTCCAATCTCGCGCACTGGAAATTGCGCGAGCGACGAGTGCGTGACCCCCGGTTATAATTTGCTGTGCAACATCTGGTGCGTAGGTCCGTGCGTAGAACCTGCCTGACGAAAACGACCGCCGTATTTTTCCTCGCAACGACCGCACGAGTACACTGCCAAGTGTCAAGTATGCCGCAATATTAGAAGCCAGCTTCGGCCGTGCGATTTCCGACCTCGTACACGTGTACACGCGTGCGAGGTGCGAAAGGTCGCAGGGTGGTCTGGCGAGTAAGCGTTGTGAGGCTTCTGGTCTCTCTGGCCGCGGAACT